AAATTATCAAGGGTTCACGAGGAAAGGGGGAGCGGGGAGGGAGGGGAAAAATGAGAAGCTAATACCAAGGGCTCAAGTAGAAAGCAAATGTTTCTGAGAATGATGATGGCAACAAATGTACAAATGTGCTTGACACAATGGATGGATGGATGGGTTGTGGTAAGAATTGTACGAGCCTCCCATAAAATGATTTTTTTAAAGAAATAGTTTGAAAATATTAATGAAAAATATTAAATAATATCCAACAACAAAACAATAAAAATGTTATTTAAGATAGATGTATTTTTTTGATTCTGTATCCATACTGACAGCTAGAGACATTGATATACACAGAACAGAACTGCTGTCCTCCAAAAGTCCATGGTTGTAGCTATTTCTGCTCACATGATTCTCCCGCCTTAGACATCAGTGGCATGACAAACAGAAGCATATCATTTCCACATTAAGAAAGACAGGTACAAAGGGCTTGCTCTTCCTCTCCTGTCCTACAGCAGGGTAGGTCAAAAAATAGTGTCACAAAAGCATAGAAACATTTATTAAATGAAAATGTCACAATGCGAAGCTAGTGTTTCTCCACATATTCTCCAGTGAGTTCTATACACTTCTGAAGGCGATCTTTCCACCTCTCTAACCCTTCCCCCAAATAAATCTGCCTTGGAGGAAGTACGGCCTCAATGCTCCTTAGAATCAAGAAGGGTGAGACTTCATGGCATGTATTTTGGATATGTTATCAATAGAGATCCGTCCTTGGAAAAGGACAGTGTGCTGGGTGAAGTGGAGAGTCAGTGAAAGAGAGAGACTCTTGCCAAGGTGGGCTGACATGGTGGCTGTGGTAGTGGTCTCAAGCATGACCACGGTTTTAAGGAGGGCAAAGGACTGGACAGTGCTGTGTTCGGTTGGACATAGAGTTGCTATGAATTGGGCAGAGTCAATGGCACTTAGCAGAACCAGCCCTTCCCCAAAAAACCTCTGCACTCAGCAGTCTGGACCTGCTCAAGTGACTCGGATGGTGTTCCTTTTGAATGTTCCTTGATTTGGGGAAAGCAAATGAAGTCCCAGGGGGGAGATGAAGGCTGTAGGGTGGCTGGGGAAAGAGTTCCCAATGAAAGGACAGCCCTTGCTCCCTTCAAGAATAAACAAGTGCATTGTCATGATGAGAAAGAAAAAAAATGACTTGGTGCAAATGTCCAGACTTTTCACCAATGCAGTTTGCATGGTTCTTAAAACGTCTTCCTAGGAAGTCTCGTGATCACCTTGTGTCCTCTGAGCAAGTGTAACAAGATTAGCCCTTTGAAACGTCAATGAAAAAGAAACACCCTAATGAAAAAGAACACCATCTGAACCAACACCTGACCCGTGGAGCACAGCTGGTTTATGGGGGGAAGGGGGAGAGGGGCAGCATGCCCATGACCTTGTTGCAAGGCTTCAGTGATTGGAGAAGATTTTCACCAAATTTTGTTCAAACATTGCTATTAGCCCTGACCTGAAGATCAACTTTTTTCAATGGTGCAAAAAAGTATCTTTTTGATGATGATTCTTGTTGAAGACACCCTAGCAAGACAAAGACACCTACAGCCCTGAGGGAACTTGTCTGCAGCCAGCCACATAGTGCAGAGACCTGTCTAGATGCATTTTGGGTGGAATAAATCAGTGTATGTATTGAACTGAAACCCTCGTAACAATATATATTTTTAAAACTTCCCCTCGGATATCTTATGTGCTGCCCCAGGAGCAAGGAATCTGTTCCGTCGATGTGTTCAGGCAAGACTAAGATCAAATGAGGCCCACGAGAGCGTGACGGCGTGGAGCAGTATGCAGATCTTCAGCTGTGCTTCATTGCCTATGGCCCAAGGCCACAAGGAGTCCAATAAAGGTTGGTGCTCAAAAACATCAACCCAGATCCAAGGTTGTCTCTCTGGCACCCAGCCATGAAGCTCCTTCTACCCATCTTTGCAAGTCTCATGCTACAGCCCCAAGTGCACACAGGTAATGAGGACCCCTGAGTGTGAAAAAGGCCCGTGGGAGGAAGCAGGGATTTGGTTGCTCATGGCAATGGGAACAGGTACTCAAAGAGATGATCTTACCTATTGCATCAGTCAATGTGGGTTGCACCATGAGCCCCAAGAAGCCCTAGCCCTAGTCTGTGTCTGCTGGAGACACCAGAAAGCTACAGGGAAAAGAAGTGCTTTCAATGTGTGAACTCAGAAAGGATCCAGCATATAAAGCTGACTCCATGCCCTGTACATAGCTACCCTTTCAGGACTCAGCCCACGTCTGCTTCATTTTCGTTCTATTTCTGGTCTAAAACCCTCTCTTGAAGCAAGGCCTCTCTCTTGATGTGGGAAGGAAGAAGTTGCTACCTTTACACTCAGCAAGAGATGCTCTCAGAATCCAGCGAACAGGCCTATGTATGTCCTCTCAGCGTTTTCTGGGGTTACCGCATTTCATCCCTGCTTTCTGCCTTTGTCTTCTTGAAATTCCCAAGATTACCAGGAAGACCACTAGGAACCCATTATGACTGAAGGCTGAACTTCAGGGTCAGCTACTGTATTAAGGAAAGAAGAGAAATTCTGAGACTTGCCTTAAAAAAATTTTTTTTTCCTGCTTTGTCTGTGGTGAGAAAATGAAATATGTGTGAACGCGCTTTGAAACTCGCGAGGAGCTACATAAATCGGTTGTTATTAGAGGGAAATCAGTTGAATTAAGATGGATGGGGGAGCTTTCTTTATTCAGATAAGACAGGGAGGTGTGAGGATGACAAATGTGTATACAGCAGATGACAATGAAAGGCTAAGCTGAGCCGGGGATTGAGAGCTATAGTTATTTACCATTGTGGCAGTTAGCGCGCTACAGACGAGGCTAAGGCTATGCTAACCGACCTCTGAGAGACTGGCGGAAAATGACAGCACATCCTATTGCAGGAACCGCATTTTGAGAGATTGTCAAGTAGAGAGAGAGAGAGGAAAAAAGACCTCTGAGTTTAGCAAAAGATTACACTCCTCAAAGTCCCAATGAGTCTCTTTTAATATTGGTATTGGATTACCTACTTTGGGACAGATTCGCTCTTGTTTGTATTTCCTAGGAACATGGGGGTTGGGTGGTCATGCCCCACAGTGTATAAGATGCTGAGCTGGAGTGTGTAAAACCGATCCTAAAACAAATAATTGGGAGCCTTATTCTTCTTTCACCCATTGCACCAGTTTGCTAAATTGTTCAGGGGAAGGAACCTAAAAGGGGGGGAGGGAGGTCTTCTATCGTGGAGAGGTGCAAAGACTATCTTGGACTGTCTGGATGTCCATCAAATCACTAAACCCTGAACTTAACCCCCTGTATTACAAACTCCCTCTTACTCTAGGGCTCCCCTCTAGCAGTTGTAAGACCAGCCCTGGCTGTCGCCCTTGGCCCAGTCGTTCTCTCTCTTCTTTTGTGCAGACTTCTTCGGCTTGAGAAAATGTGTAATGGGTTTTGGGAAGTGCAAGGAGCACTGTGCCGTGGATGAAAAAGAGATAGATGCATGCCAGAAGAGAAAATGCTGTCTCGGACCAAGAGTGATAGAGATTCTAAAAGCCTTCATCCAATCGGAAGTGCACGAAACCCTGGAAAAGAACCCGCAGGCACCGCTAAAGGCTCCCGAGGTTTACAATGCTGTGCAACTGACGAAACATCACATGTTATCTCTCCTTCCCCAAATCATAAATGCTGTCCCTTCTACTAATCCCAACTCCCTCATCATCACAGACACCCCCCCTGTGCGCACCCTGGCCCCCAGCGCTGCTGCTTCTCCCGAGAGAGACGTTGAGAAGCGCAGAGGTGCTGCCCTGGCCCCAGAAGCCTCAGCAGCCCCCCCGCCACCGTAGACGCTGGCCAGACCACATCTGGAGCCGGAGAAGCTGCGGGGCAGGTCTTTGCCCGGAAGCACCAAGTTCTGCTCTGTCGTCTCGGTCCATACAATAAGACATAGAACCGTATTGTATCCTTTGTCATATGTCAGCCAATAAACACTGTTGGAGAGCCTGGGCTATGCAGTGTTCTCCTTCTCACAAGGGCCTCACTGAGGAGGGAAAGCGGAGAAGACTTGGTGTTTTAAGTTTAGATGCCTGAGACAAAGCAGCCACTAGAGATAGGGACTACGGGATGGGATTTGGTCCGTGGCCTAGATTAGACATCTGTCATCCGTCTTCATTACTCCGGCCTGGTGTGTTTTTCTGGGGGAAACAGGGAAGAAAAAGCTGGAGATGTTTTTAATAGAATTTGGTGACACACATGTAAAATAGAATGTGCGGAATCCAGTGTTTACTTAAAGAAGCCCTTTAAGATAAGAATACAGGGAAGAGGGAGAAGGGAGAGGGGGTAGGACTCCGATCTCTGGACCAGGAAGTTTTCCATGAGATTCCCAAAGGGACACAAAGCAATGGGTTAATGTAGAAGGCAGATCACCCTGCATAAACCATATATGTAACTTTTAATTTCCTAGTAAACCAATTTTTAGAAGCAAAAAGAAAGAAGCAAGATTCATTGATCATATTTATCAAAAGAAATTCGAAACATCATGCCAATATGTAATCAATATAAAAATTATTTCGATGACCAAAAAATGTGTAATTACTTGATTTTTTAAAAATTCAAAACATCATGCCAACATGTAATCAATATAAAAATTATGTACTCAATATAAAAATTATTTTGATTACCAAAAAAAAGGATCTTCTGGCCAAGGCAGTTTCTTTGTGCTAAGTCTTCACAATGTCGCCTTCCCTTATACTTACAGCAAACTTCAGTTGGAACTAGGCATCGTTCAAATGTCTGATCACCGTGTGTGGGCACTGGGTGATATGAAGTTAGAACGTTTCCAGGGCCCGAGTAGCTACAGGGTTATTGGGCAAAGGGGTTGGGGTTACAGAGCAGTTACAGAAAACCATGCCTATTTCTGAGGACTATAATCTAGAATCCAAAAGTGTGGAAATTCGAGTCTGATGCTCCCGGTGAGCCCTGATTCTGGCACAAGTGAGTGCTGTGGCCGAGAACAAGGCCCTTGACCTTGTGCGAACGTCAGGGTTTTTGTTCATAAAGTGAAGGTGTGAATATTACATCTCAAAATTTAGAACTCTCCAGGTCACATTTCTTTGTAATGTCCAAATTCAGTGGTGTGGACACCTATTCCAGTTTTTAATATCTTCCTCTCTGCTATAGAGTACCCTCTTCCATTAAGAGACCCTCTTCTCTTACCCTGAAAAGAGCCCTGGTGGCGCAGTGGGGCACTGGTTGGGCTGCTAACCACGAAGCCGGCAGTGTGAAACCACCAGCCCATCTGTGGGAGAGTGAGGGGGCCTTCTCTCCCGTCAAGAGTTACAACCTCGGAAATCCACAAGGACACTTGGACCCTGTTCTATGGGGTCGCCGTGAGTCAGCGTGGACTCAATGACCGTGAGCTTGGGTTCGGGTTTTTCTTCACAGCCTCAAGTCTATGGCTCTTCTTCCCCTTCATGAAACTATTTAGAAGAAACGAGTTGTCGTGATGTATACAGCTTACTTTCACGTGTTTGAAAGGGAAAGGGCATGTAAAGGTTTTTTTTAAATGGGTTGGGGAAATCTGTGTGATCCAAATTGATGAAGAGATCCTATGGACTGTGCATGCTGAGTGGAAACAAGGAGAAAGAACGCCATCATTCCTGTTTTAGAGTACAAAGGAGATCTCGAACCTCAGCTATAAAGAGGACATCTATTAAGTCTTAGACAAGGAAAGGCAAGACAAAGACATAACACGCCATTTGGATGAGGGAGATCATTAACGCAGGTCACAATGGTTTCCGAGGATTTGCAGAGATCTGGGCCCTAAAAAGGACATGGACGGCAAAGGAAATTTTCGCAAAATCACTACTGGCAGCAGCTCAATACATCGTCATTACAGATGGGACTGCAGAAGTGAGAACAGGGCCATGATTGAAGTGTGCACATTATGTTAGACAGAAGAGCCTATAAGACTGGTCCAGGCTTTGGGCCTCTACTCAAGTACTCCCTCAAGGCAAGAACACTTTGTTCTAATAATCTGACATTCTGTGGTGCTCTCCTTCCTGACACTATACTGAAGACAAATGGGTGCATAAGCAAATGTGGTGAAGAAAGCTGATGGTGTCCAGCTAGCAAAAGATATAGCATCTGGTGTCTTAAAGGCTTGAAGGTAAACAAGCAGCCATCTAGCTCAGAAGCAACAAAATCCACATGGAAGAAGCACCCCTGCCTGTGTGATCATGAGGTGTGGATGGGATCAGGCATCAGGCATCAAAGAACAAAAAATAATATAATTGTGAATGAGGGGGTTGTGGAGTGGAGACCCAAAGCCCATTTGTAGGCCACTGGACATCCCCTCACAGAAGGGTCATGGGAAGGAGTCAAGCCAGTCAGGGTGCAGTACAGCAATGATGGAACATACAAATTTCCTCTAGTTCTTTAATGCTTCCTCCCCCAGCCCCTATCATGATCTCAGTTCTACCTTACAAATCCGGCTAGACCAGAGGATGTACACTGGTACGGATAAGAACTGGAAACACAGGGAATACCAGACAGATAAACCCCTCAGGACCAATAATGAGAGTAGTAATACCAGGAGGGGAAGGGGAAGAGAGGGTAGAAAGTGGGAACTGATCACAAGGATCTACATACAAGCCCCTCCCTGGGGGCCAGAGAACAGAAAAGTGGGTGAAGGGAGACGTCAGACAGTGTAAAATATGACAAAATAATAATAATTTATAAATTATCAAGGGTTCATGGGTGGGGGCAGGGAGGGAAGGGAAAAAATGAGGAGCTGATACCAAGGGCTTAAGTAGAATGAAAATGTTTTGAGAACGATGATGGCAACAAATGTACAAATGTGCTTGACACACTGGATAGATGTATGGATTGTGATGAGTTGAATGAGCCCCCAATAAAATGATTTTTAAAATTGTTTGAAAGACTGGTCCAGGATCTTCTGACCAAGGCAGTCAAGACAAGACTCATGACTCCGTGACCCCAGTAGGGCAGTTTCCATCCAGGGCACATGTGGGCATCCCTTGAAAGGAGAATGCCCCACCTTGGACCAGTTGGGGGATAGAGGTAACCCACTTTCTAATGCACTATGCCTGAGGGCAAGACTGTTCCTAGTCCCGGTTAATGGTCAGAAGGAATTCAGTGGAGACTTACTTCCGGTGGGGACTCTGGAAATGGATTTCAAGCTTTCACTGTCATCCATGGCCCTCTGCAAACCTGGTGCTCAGAATGTAAACTCTAATACATGGCTTAACAAGTAAGGGATAAAAGACCATTATGATTGCACAACTCTTTTTCAGTATATTTAAACCATTGGATTTTATGGTACATGATGTCAATAAAACGGTGACCTACATTTTTTATGTTTTATCATTTTTAATGACTGTACAGCATTCTATTATACTCTAACTATTCTATAGTCTTTTGATTTCTTGTTTTAGCATCATGTACGTGGCTTTCTACTATTGTAAACAATGTTGATGTGAACATCTTTGTCTGTTTGTCCAATTATTTCCTTTGGATACAAATTTAAGGCATAGGCTTTCTGAATCAAAAGGTAAGTATATGTGAAAGAGCATGACTATGTATTGCCAAATAGACTCAGGAGCAACATTATACCAATTGACCTTGTGTGTTAGAGGGCGAATTTCCCAGCACTCTTCTCACACTAATCAGAAAGCCCCACTTCAAAAAGGACATGTTGTAGATGATGCTCTCTCCGCCTCTCCCCCGCCTCCAAATAGCCTACATTTCAGGGGCCCAATAAATCAAGCCATGCTACAGTTCAGTAGACATTCTGATCTAATCTAACTGCTCTAAGTGGCAGACAGCTCTCCCTCCGGTTCAGTGCCCAGGACCCAGGCAGCCGGTAGCTATAAAGGCAGTAAGTAGCTCCAAGCATGTTACACAGAGGGCTTTGACGCCATCAAACCACCTTCTGCCCCCAGGTCAGCCCTTCAGCCATGAAGTTCCTGGTCGTGGTCTTTGTGGCTCTTGAACTCCTGACTCAGGTGATCCCAGGTAAGCTGAATGGATGAGGAAAAAAAGAGTGAAGCGTCAGACCTGGCTGCTATGGTGACAGACAAGCCAGCCTGAGAGGAGACTTGTCCCCCCACCCCTTACCCCCAACCCCTGAATTTCTATCTAAAGCGGGAGTTTCCCAATGTATACCCTTGGTCTCAGCACCTGTACTCAGGTACCACCCTCTGCAACCTTGGACAAACACCAATCCCCCCAAACGATTTCTTGTTCTCCAGTAGAAGTCAAGCTCAGGCTAGTCCAAAATAGTTTTCTCTGACTTTATGGGAGTTCCCCATAGACCTTGAGACCTCAGTACCCTAAGACATTGAGAATTCCTCACTCTTCGTGGTTTCCCTCCTTTGAGACAGTCCTGAGTTTGGACTCCAAGGAGCGATGGAGCCTGGGATAGAGGGGTTGGGGGTTCTCATCTCCATGCACAGCAGGCCCCTGGCAGAGAGGACACAGGAGGAGATGGGTCCCCACCCTTTCCCCCAGGGGATAAGGGTGCTCAGCTTGACCCCTATGGCTAGGAGAGAATGCAGAGCCAAAGGGGAGAGGGCTGGCGGAGAAAGAGGGAGAGATGTGGAAGTTAGAATGATGGATGTGAAGAAAGCCAAGGAGGGGGTGCTCTGGAGAAGCCAGCTCTGAACTAACTGATGGTGGCCCCAGAGCCCGCAGGTGAAGCTCTTGGATTTGACCAGAAGTAGTGTGTGGACGCAAAACAAAATCGCCATTGTCAGCAGCCATCACTATTTTCCCTTTAATACTTTTGGGAGATACTTTTCTTTCTCTCCTGAAGTGACGCATCTTT